TCCAATGAAAATCTAAAGTCATATGAAAATAACACTACAAGTAAAAGAAATCGTGCTCTGGTTCATACACGACTTTTATCGGACTCTATTACAACTTATAGAATTCCAATACAATGTCCATAGATCCAAAGTAATAAAGGAGTAGGTAGCACAAGAAAACAGGATAACACAACCAACGCGTTTGGTACCATCCTCCAGGATAACCCCAAAGATCCTGAATGCATGCAAAAGAGAAAGGCTAAGCCTGACCAGATTATAGCAGCCACTGATTTTGACCAGACCATCTTTATGCATCGGAAGAGTGTAAACTCTACTTCACAACTGCTGTCAATTTAGAAGCAACTTTTGCTTGAAAAAAAAGTACGATCTTCATAGCGTTTTATTTCTTCGCTTAGGAAGTATGACAGTTTGACGATGGTAGACCAAGGATTGCGAACAAACTCAGCAATAAATTGACTCGTAGAAACCAAAGATGCGCCCATCTCCCACCTTTGTGCCTTCACATTCTTTCAAAACCATATAGAAAAAATCAAACGCAACCTACTCACGAAAAATACCAGCTATCAATCCTCAACAAATTACGCCTAGAATTAGAAAATTATGAAGGACAGACCAAGACGAGTCATTTGCATACTTCTGGCATAACCAAATGAGCTTGTGCAAATATTCGTTGCAAAAAAGTGACAGCTAGCAAAGGCTCCGACTAATGCTCCATCCACAGAAACAATCACCCTCCGTTCTTGAACGTCTTGCTCCTGGAAATTAATAAAACCAGAGGCAGTCTAATACGAGCGTGAATCCTCAGCGTAAAGACAATTATCATTTGGAAGACGCTCCGGGCGGATCAGGGAATAAGAGTAAAACCTACCCTCCTTCCTTCCTAGCTATAGCAGGTTTAGATTTCTAGGTTGAGCTACGATAGCTTATAGGAAAGGTCTTCCCTCGTCCGAAGGCCTTGAAGAAGAGATAATCGGTCCCAATCGGCCCATATTGCTTGAGCTTTGGGAATGCAACAAGTCCTAGTGGATGAACACGTCTGCAATGAACCACCATCACGCACATGTTAGAAGCACAGTTAGTAGAGAAACTACGAAAGTAAAATTGAGGTAGTGCAGATAGCATTAAACCTGCTGCCGCCCAATAAGGCATGCAGATGAATGAATTTGATAACGAGTATAATCAAGACAACAAAATTAACCAAGAACATCACACTTCCAACGGCAATGTAGTCATTAAAAATGTAGATGAAAATAGGAAGCCTTTCCGAGCACAATGAACCTATTTTTGCGTGATTTATCATCAGAATCAAATTGCTCAGATCCATGGTGGGAAGTAAGAGTCCTGCCGCTACACTTTCGAGTGCCGCGCAAAAAGTCACACAAGAAGGCTCTGAAGCTGCAGCATTAAACCTCCTTTCAACTCGTTTCGTGAAGCAAAAATCGTCAATTTGCCACAAATTAAAATAGCGAATTCGAGCAGTAAATGGTTGAATTGAAAGGAGAGACAATGGAAAGCAGTGCAAAGCACATCAGCAAACTGTTATAATAATCAAGCATTCGTGCATATCAAAACAAACAGCTGTAGGCCATCTGTAACCTCCACCAAGTTAGGATGAGCCGATGCAGACATTTATGCAAAAATCCACATTGGTCTGCAATACAGATAATCGCCGAGCGTACTGGGACTTAGCAATGACAGCAAAGGCAATTAACTTTCCGAAATTCCACTTAACTTCCAAAGCAATGACTACTTCGGAGGAAATATATGATCAACAAAATAATTACTCACAGAATAAAAGGTTTACACAAACTGAAACTACATCAAAATTGCTTGTTTGTACATTGCTGTATCTATGACCCATGAAGTCACCTGAAACGCAACTCATTTGTAACATATCCCCCATTTTGGTTAATCGAAACGGAAACTTCAAGTAAAACCACAAAAAAAAAACGAAGGTAACTTCGAAACCTTTTACCGCGCTAACATGCATGGCGCCTGATTTCACGCAACGCAACTAAGTGACAATAAACCAACCTCAACAACTCTTGATGGGTGATTTCATCATCACTCATGCATAGCACTATAATCAGACTCGAAAATGTGTAATACTACTTGTCAGTATGCTAATATGCCAAGGATCGACTAACCCTTGAGGTGATGGACCAACGGAGAAGTAGGAAAACAATTGACGTTGCCCTACCTTAAAACGAATTGCATTCCTCTCCAGTGTAACAGTTAGCCTCAATATTATAGTTAATTCAATGCGATCACCAAGTTATTTTTAATTTACTTTTGATGTAGTCAACGATGCATATCTGCACTCGCATCCCTCAACAGCCTCCTCAATTGATTCTGAAGGGTAAAAGTTGGATACAATCCATCTGAGAACTGTCAAAATAAGATTGTTTTTTGAGAGCCCTCCTTTGCCCTTAAATGCAATCTCCGATATCAAGTCCATATGAGAAAAACTACACTACCCTGCACACTCAAGTTCTGCTAATAAATTCTTTCGAGCTAAGGGGGAAAGCAAACACTAATTCTCTGCCAAAGGCTATGTAGTAAACATCGGTACTACTCGATGCTCTAAACACCTCTAATTTAAGACTTTAACCTTCAGACACCATCACTAATTATCATCCCAAAATGACCACAATCCTAGAGTTGGATCTTGTGTATTCATTCAGTACACACTGAACTGATCTTAAGCTTGAGGAAAATCGGTACATGGATGGGACCATTCGTGACCGCAGAGACTGTAGTCACCTTGTTTAGCCGAAGCGGCTACAAGGTTCTGTCTTACTTTCCAGTGCTTGTAACATCAGCACGACTACCTTTCCACCGTCCAATACCTCAAAGGAACAAGTGTGGCATGCATACCTAGAACACGACCCACAGGTGGCCTGGTTGTAGTCGGCTTAGCAACTATACATTTAATGAATCAAAATGAAGTAAAAGCCGATTGTGTGCCCTTTCATTGTCTGATCTGAAATTACAAAGAACGTAAGATTATGTGAAAGAAGTACCTTGGGTCGTCATGCGACCAGAGTGCAATTTCGTTTTAAAATGGTCGCCTAATAGAATGCCATGACAATGCTTAGGAAAGAACTTTCCATTTGACCAAAAAAGAAACTATTTTATAAAACGTTCTTTTGTATTACAGAAGATACGACCGTTTTGCGTTTGCCGATATTGCGAGCCTGAAAGAGCATCAATAGAACACCAGTTGTACACGGAGTAATAATCTATATATGTGAATAGGGGGCCTTCAGAACGTCACCCCATGCAATAATCAGGAACGAATCACAGTATTCCCTGGAACAGGCCCATCCACTCACTGATATAGTTGCTTTAATTGCACTACTACGTAGTTGCCTTTTCATCTGTAGAACTGTTACAAACATTCGAAAGAGCAAAAGCAGGTAGCTTTCACACAATCTCATATCCTTTCGAGCTGAATCACTGGCGAACCACTGTTTACCAAATCTTCAGGATAGGTTAAAGGCAACTGCAAATCGTTGGATTATGGAAAATCAAAACCAGTGATCTCATTTCAAATCTTGTCAAAAATCTGTAACAACCTAAATGCAGTGCACAGCTGATTTTCCACCAACTCCGGCAATACTGCACATAAAAGCCACTTTACAGTTGCTACCCCAGGTTTTGCATTCCAAAGTCCATTGCGTATTACTGCACGTGAACACGCGATACGTCTGGCTGCGTTCACCATGCCTTTTCGCGGTTCTCAAACTGCAACTCAATCATCGCATTCCTTAGTCGTAGTTCTACACACATTTGGACGACCAACCACCACTAACCATCGCAAGGGCACTTGCTCAATCTCGAAAATGGACCACACTTTCAAAAGGACAAGAAAATTTACCTTTCGTAGTTGTCAAAGCCGTTGTGGATACGAAGTTCGATAAGGGCTCAGTACTGTTCTCACCAGCTGCCGTTGACAGGCCAGTGAGACCTTTACAGAGTTCGGCGTACTTATGTCTGTCACGGTCTCTCACGAAAACAATGAAGTCTGCAAATAAGAAGAACAGAAGAGCTCCTAGACTCATTAATAATCAATAGCATTAAAAGTAAATTATCCAACTCGGCCACCTCTATTCCGGACCTGCAAAAGTGGTTAAACAATGAGTTCCAGTGCTACTACGATCCACAAATTGGATTCAAGTTACAAGGCAACAAGTGGACTAAGAGTTTGGATATAAAGGATCGGACAAATGATAGACTGCCCATTCAACATCCAGCGGATCAAGTTGAAAGATAGTAGACAAATACATTACCTTAGGTAACTTTTTGTTCAAACCAGTCAAAATAACATTTTGGTTTTGGTAAATCCATTCAAAACGTAAAACGTAGAAGTGTAAAAAGAAAACGAATCCTTGGGCCGATAGTGACATAATAGAACGAAAGTTAGCGGCGGATAGACGTCGCAGTTAACTGAGAGCTGGAGCGGAGAAAATATGTGGTAGATTCGGACAATTCTTTCGACTTGTGGGCAACTTCTAATAAGTGCCTTTCCAAATATTTATTTCAAAAAGTAAAATGTTAAACCCATTCAACATAGGTTACCTTCAAAGAGAATAGATCTGTAAGTTGGAGCAGCTAATCCTCATTGAAAATCCATAAAAAGTTGCAATTAAAACAAGGTGGAATAACATTCAGTGATTTTGGTTTTGTAATAAGGTACAAACCCGTAAGTCCAAAAAAAGTTCGTAGAATTTCAGGTATTCCCGAAATGTCTCAACAAAAAACTACCCTTCTGAAGTATAACTCAATCCTCTAACTTTATCACAGGAAAGAAACAGCGACAAACGCACGCCATGACAACTCGAAGATGCTGACAAGAAACCCCTTTATTCATTTCAATTCCAGTGATGTTCGTGTTTTACAGGAAGAAGCTTCGCATACATTTCTATTCGTTGTTACAAATGCTCCCTTGGTTTAATGTAGTAAACTAATTATACTCTATCCTTAAAGCAGTTTCCAAGTCAATGCAATCGACGGGCCTCACCTCTAAGTAGGCCAGGTGCACCACGGGGTATAAAGAGACTCGAAAGAGCAGCAAAGACCCTTTCAACAGACGATGATCCTGCCTCCGTTCCTTGTGCCTTATAATTTGACAGAGCGACCTTTGGATAAAGCAGAGTTACGTCAGAGTGTAGGTTGCTTCTTAATTCGTGGTACGCAAGAATGTCACCTTAAATTCCTCAAACCAATGGTCCTCCTTGCCCGCGGCGGAACGATCGAAGAGTGCCCGAACAGAAGCCAAGTAGCCTGAAGTGGTGACACCATCGCCCGCCTCGAGATTGACACTATCCTTCACTAATTTTATGCGTTTTGCTCCTTGATAACGTTTTAGCAAGCATGCTACAAAGGCTTCATCATCGTTGCTACTGGAACCCTTTGGGGAAGGTATATCAGAGGATGGACGTGTGGAAGTCTGCTTTAAGAAGGGAGCAATAATAAACATAAACCACATTTAACTCCGTGAATTTAAAAGGAAATTGGGGTAAAAAGTAGCAGGTAAAAACACTATGTGAGGCTGTAAATGTAACTGGAATGAGCAGAAAAACAGCAACGACGGAATATGCACATCGATGAGAGAACATTCTTACTTATTTATTTTGAGTACTAACGCGGTTGGCCAAGGTGGATTGCTAGCTGTAGACAGTCACTAACCTCCTGAGCGCTGCTATAGATGCGGTCCAATAACGACGTCGATGGTTTTGCGGATTGAGAGCTAGTCGAGTTACTCTTCGCCTCGCCTTCTAATAGCAGGTTAGAAGAGTAGTCCGCCAGAAAATCAATGACTCCAGAACTCTTGGATAAACTCCCAACGTACGTTGTAATCTTGAAATGGACAGAGTGAATAGTGGAAATTAACTTTACATTTGTATTAAGTATTAAAGATTTGGAAAAATATTCCCTCGCCGCTCGACAGTGGCTGTACTCAGTGGTACTAAAAAACGAAATATCCTCGGTGTGTAATACTAGCTAATATTAGGCAACGTACAAGGGGGAAGTCCCAATAAGAAAAGTCAGGAAACAGTTGCCTCATGCGGACAATGGAGCGTCGCTACTTAAACAATAAGCGATAATTGAAATCCGAAGAGATGTCGATGCTAAATTTACAAAAACTGACGATTAACAGGTTCATGTAGGATGCCACTTAGAGAGCTGCCGATTTTCACAATTTGATTGCATCACACAAATACACCCTCAACAGAATGGTGGAAGCACATCCACTTCAATAAATCTGAAGATCAAACCGTGGACATTGTGGAATTGCTATAGTAAAACCGCCGTTCATAATTTGGGTTGCCGATCCAGAACATAAATGATTCAATACTGTAATGTAAAAGTACGAAAAAAATTTACATGATCTGCGGCCTTTGGGAATCCCAACCCATTGTCATCCATAGCAAAGCCATGTCGCGGTGAGGTTGCACAATCCACCGACGCGAAACTTCTGATAGGCAAAGGTTTCATGGGTGCTTTCAAAAACGATGGATACTATCAAATGGGAGGAGAATGGTTAAAGATGACAAAGTTACCTTCGTCTCAGCTGTCCGAAAAAACTCACTGGCCGCCTTAAGGACAGGGCCAAAGCTGTCGTAGACACAAACACTGGAACGCATCCAAGTGGGTAGATGAGAACGCGCCTCAGGCGATGCAAAACGTTCATCGCAGAGGAACACAGCCCCGAAGTCTCGAATGTGGCGGATCACTCTAGACGCACAGGGAAGAAAAACGCGTCGCTAAAAATCGACAGACAAACTATTTGCCGAATGTCAAGAAGCAACAAGCGGTAAAACCAACAACAGCGAATAGAGATAATCACGACCACAGTATTACAGTTTGACACTCAAACCTAAGTTGCCCAACTTAATGAAATTAAAAACCATCCACCTTCCAACAGCCTGATTGATAGCACGCCAAGCTTGAAGTTTGTACCACTGTCGTCCGGTTAGTGAATCGTTGATGCCATCCGTTTGAAAGCGCCGCTCATCGAGGAAAGCCATTTTAATTTTGACACGAGGATCCTCGCGTGGCGGGTAGGCGATACCAAGAATCACTACGGCGCGGCTGTTTTGGTCCGCCAGGTCCAAACCCTCGCTGGCCTTACCGCGCATCACAGAAAAGAGCACGGAGCCTCCTGCGATATTTGTGGCCGCTTCCATATAGCCTGCGGTTATCTACGGATAGTTCATACAGAAAGTCTGACCACGCAATTATTACAGGCTCGTCAAGCAAAAAAAAAACAAAGATATCCAAATTCGTGACTTCAATGGCAAATACGTGGGCCAATTTAGCATGACATAAAAATAGGACAAAAAAATTTCAGTTACAGCAAATATACAGGGAATTTGAAGATGAGGTAGAAAAGGTAATTAAAACAGGGTTATCCGAAGAGGACAGCTAGAGGTTTGTAGACGCATTACAAGAAGTTGGCAAGCAGAACAAATTTACCTGTTGGAATTGAGTCTTATCTCGAGGCTCGGTGAATATCTTTTTGCAGTCAAGGAATTTGTTGTAGATATCGGAGTTCTGAAATGCGCAACAAAATTAAGCAAAAACTTATGTCAAAGGCGGTCAGGTCAACAAACTTAAAACCTTCCCGATATCCCAAGGCGCTAAGGTGTTAGGGTTAGTATAGAGCGGATAATGGGGCGCGGCTGCAGCGTCTCTACAGGGAAAACCAACGATTTCGTATCTAAAGCGGCAAAGACGTAATCAGACCACTCGTTTATCAACAACAATCTGCCACTAGCGAGAGGTTTAAACGCGGAAGTAATCCTGAAAACGGATGAAAAAGAAAGCAAAATAACCTAGCGGTGCTACAAGTAACACAAATAACTATAAAACGAGTAAAGATACATTCCAAGATGAACTTCTCATATATTCTGCAGTTCTTTTCTTTGGGAACACAATAGTTCTTAAATCAATAGTGAGCAGAGGAGATGTGGACCTTCGGATACGACAAATACAAAGCTAGCCTAAGGACATTGTTAGAAATAATTCTTACCTTCCACGAGTCCAGGCACATTTTCATAAGAGCATAAGACGGGAAGAAGACAAGCACACCGCCTGGTATAACACGGAGGAGGTTCACTATGAAACGAAACAAAACTGCCTATAAAGATGACAACTGGCATTAGACTTGAAGATCGCATAACTATTTAAGCTTTTACACATACTAAGGGTCAGACCAAGAGATCGATGATAGACTGAGTCGGCACGGTGCTGGTAACTAGAATTTAGAGTTCCGCCATCTGGAGCCTTCGGTAGCACAGCAACATGAATTTGGTCAGAGTTCACGACATGAGGATTCTGAAGTACGATTGCCGACTGCCTAGAAAAAAATAAAAATTGGGTGATTAAAATACAAAGTAACTAAAAGACCTTTAAGAAAGGCAGAAGTCAAACAAAAACGATTGATTTTGAAATAATTACGCGGAAAACGAACATCTAAGCTTACAGACCCAATTCTGCCTGAAGAGACGCAATGGGATAGAGTGTCCCGCTGGTAAGAATTATGTTGCGCACATTCAGATCCAGGAGTTCATGCATTGCTCTGAAGAAGAGGAACAATCGGAACAATACACCGAAGGTGCTTAAGATTTTTTTGCAACGAGAACGTCACATCCTAGGTCACACGACTGTGCGTATATAAATGCAGCCATTGAGCCGGAAAACTAAAGCGGTTCTACCAAGACGTAGTTATGGAGGCGGTTGAAGCGCGAATGGTAGTTGAACGCAAAATTTAAGAACCTCAATCATAGATAAAGCTCGTTACAACGAAATACGGGGAGCTTTGCAGGAAACCTGTTTCCATACATTTGTTGCGTTTGATCAGTCTCGAAATTGCATTTCTTTTCCCGATTATATGCAATTCTACTAGTTTTGTTAGAAATTCGAGGATCTCAGCAGATGGTCACTAAAAATGGATGGAAAAGAGTAGCGAGTAAGTTATTTTTCTTGAATTAACTTATTGCTTTTCATGCATCACCATGATATGGTCATATTGTTCCGCTAGATATGTTTTCGAATTGCTCTTTTCCTTGGGTCCAAATCCCGATAGGACGCTGCATCATTCATCCCTTGATGAGGAATACTTATCATAGCTCTTGAAAATTTGGGCAAAACAACACCAGTTACCGAAAAGCGAACCATCACATACCCCAACCATCTCACGTCTCTTGGTTTTTGTGGCACACAGCAGCTGAAATTCCTCAAATGACGGTTAAAAAGCAACAACGATCCGCAAACACGACATTTGCCTCGCCCCTCATCGGGTCATGCGCGCAAAAAGCATTTTTAAAAGCCAAAATCGAAAGAAAAATTCCACCAACAAATCAGAGTGAAAAAACGCTTCAATACTCCATACCCGCATTTCCCTGAAGATTTTTCACTAAGTTGTAACTTTCATCTCCCCTTGACATAATACGATCAACTCCGAAGCAGGATGGTTAAAAATATATGATAATTAGAAAGAGATACTTTAGAGCCAAAATGTAAATTCGCAAACCCTTGCCCAATTGTGAAAAATAAATTGCGACAAAAATTACACGTTCGAAATATATTTAAGGTAAAAACGCATCCCCTCGCTTTGCATAATGCTTTAGACCCAAAAAACTTAGCAGTAACGACAAGAGCGACAAGGTTATACGACATTTACTTAAGCACCTTTTTAAGGGAAGAAAACAAACATAAAACCGTTCGATAACTCAAAAACCTTAATGATCTTACAACTAAACGATCACATGAAAATGTACGCAAGATGACAATAAAAAGTTTGGGAAGATGATTCGACAGACAAAACTTCAGATAAGCAACAAGAACAGGTGTAGCGATGGCACACTGAGTAAAAATCTAGCTAAAAGACTAAATGTTGAAAGTGAAAATGTTCAAAAAGCGCTGTCACAATTCATGAACGTTGTGACAAACTTACCGTCCTGGCGTAAGACACCAGTAATTGAGACAGATGTTTTTGGTTTCTCTGCCACTGCCACCGTTCTCACCGCCTATAGTAATTGGATTTCCTCCCCATGCATCCGCCATTTCTCTATAATTCATTGAAAAAAACTCCACCTTGATGTGAACGCGAAAACAGCTCGAGGAGCGTTGACGTGTCAGCAGTGATTGAGATTCTCCACCGGTGATACCAACAAAAACTTTCTGTTGGTAAAGAGCAATAAAAAAACCTGATATTTACAAAAAGACAATTACTGTTCATAGACATACACTAGTAAAGTATCACCGCAACTGCCTTTGCTAGAGCAGTACGGAATAAAAACACTTTATGATGAACAGCTTCAAAGGGCTTGGAGAAATAGCTAAACCATTACAAGTAGCAATAATTTGCAGTCCAACTTATCAGAATGAATCCCACCTCACCTGCAAGAACTCTGCCACATGAGACAGACCACGACCCCTCCTGAATTTCGCCACTGGAAGTAGATATCAGATGGGATGTCAATTGACAATTACCATTCAAAAATTAAGCAAAGCAACTTACAATCCATTGAAATGGATGCGCTGATTATTTGGTCGATAAATTCTTCGATTTGAGCATGGTTGCTGATATTTATGCCAGCCTGTCCGAGCAATTCGAAAACATATCTAGCGGAACAATATGACCATATTATGGTGATCCATGAAAAAGCATTAAGTTAATTCAAGAGAAAATAACTTACTCGCCAGGTTTGAAGCTACCATCGGTTGAAGCACTGTTACCGAGGCTGTCGAGAAGCCGTTCCAGCTCAAGCAGCTGGCCCTTCAAGGTGAGAACACTCGAAAGGCCAATCGCACTAACTACGAAGGCAAAAAAACATTTCCAAGAAACCAAATTCAAAGAATCATCTAAAACTGGCAGCTGTAGCTTGCCTACACTGCTGCTAAACCACGATTAATACAGCATTTCAGTTTTGCCTGTAATTCGCCTCAGTTACAATCTTTGCAGAGATAAGGAGTGAAAAGTTATAAAGATCTTTGTTTAGAAGCTCCGATGTTAACGAAATCGCATTCTAGGTAGTGGCATTTTATTCAAACAGCACATAAGCTAAATAATATTCCTGTTAAGATTTCCGCAAAACAGAAATCTTAACTGGCTTCGGTTAACAAAACTTTGAGTGAAAATTATTTTGACTGGCACTTAAAACCGACAACGAAAAAGCGCTATATAAAATAGACTAACCCCTCCCCATAATCTCAGCCAAAACAATTACTGTTCGGACAATCAATTGCCGACCACAACACCAATGCAGTACACCTATGCTTTTCACCTATTTTACATGAAATGACTTTAACGCATATCCAACACAATAAGGGCAACCTCCACTAGTTACGTCTCAAGATGATCCTCGAATGATGAATCAAGCATACATAAAATTGCAGACTCAAGCATTTATGTCGATAGTGCACCGAGGGTCGAATCTCGCAAGAGAAATGCGGTAAATAATAGCGGGTCAACTTACTACCGTCATTTGTAGGCTGGGAGATATCGAGTCGGTTCACTCCGCCGATAGACCGTGCAGCCTCTTCCAGTCCTTCCGGGCCAATGGTGTCGTCCCTTCCACCGCCAGAGCTTGAGTTGAAGATGTACTCACCAATGACACGCAATTCTTCAATTGCTGACGCCAAAAATGTTGAGGTGAGTGTGGCCGAGGCGGCATCCTCACAAACCTGCGCCTAAAACGCACCATCGACCCATAACAATGATGAAAGCCACCATAAATTCAGATATCCCCTTAAATAAATTTAGCTTCAGACATGAATTTTAAAAGCAGGAATTTTTAACATGACACTCTAGCAGTGCTGCACTCATTTGAAACCCAAGTTCCAAGCGTGGCAAAGACAGTAACCGAAACATTAAACACCAAACATGAGTATAACCCGTAAGCAGTCATCTCTTTGACGTCGAGAAAATCCAGAGTTCCTAGACTTATCCGCAAGATACCTCTACAACTATGTCCATTTGAATCAGTGAGGAAGGCGGAAATCAGTGCTTCAGCTGAATCCAGAAGCTACTCTTAATCAGACTTCAATGACTTTGCAACGTTCATGCAATCCTGATGTAGATATTCCCGTTACCTCCTCTTCCAACTCGGTTTTACCGCAAAGATAGTGCAATGGCCACAGATGATCAACTCGGAAAAATGAGCCCAAGAACTTACAATATTATGGGCTTCATCGAAGATAACAACAGCGTTCGTTATTTCGATACCATAAAGGGTTCGGATCTCGAAAAGCAAAGACATGTTGACAGGAATTAAACGGATTAACAACAATAATAAGAAGCCCGACTCACTTTGACGTCGAGGAGGTAATTATAAGGCATGAAGAGGATTTCCGCATCCGATTTCATTTCTCTCGATAAGTAATAAGCACAAGCTCTAAAGTAAGAGATTCTTCAAGTTATCTGAAGCAAAACAGCTAACGACAGGGATATATGTGACAAACCTGTTCTCCCGACCAAATTTGGCCAAGTCTTCGATATCAATTATTTTTGACCTTCTCACAGTGTCCAAGAGTTTGTCTCTACCAGCTAAATGGTAACAATACAGTGCAAGATTTTAAAAGTACCATCAAAATTGCGATAGTATTCGCATGAACGGGTGGAAACACGCAGTCTGCATTGGTACACCTTGGCTGAATTCGTCTCAAGATTGCGCACTTCAGGGAGAGAACAGAGCTGATCACGAGAGCCAAGAACACCGATTCTTCGACTATAAAGAGATAATACCATAAATTTAACCTAAACCGCTAATTCAAGACTAAATCTCGTGTAACCTCAAAGAGGAAGAACACAGAAGATAGATAACATCGAGGACAAATTGACTTAACGCAAAACCTACCTAGAGTATGCAGTACTCTTAAACGCTTGCACGGCTTGATTCAGCTGTGCGTGAGTACGCGATGAAAATATAAGCAAGGGCGAATAAAATTTGTTTGATGGATTGGATAACCCAGAAGAGCTAGCGTTGCACCGAGGTTGCTCGAGGCTCTTCAACTGTTGTTGATTCAATATATGCTCCAACCACCCAAGAGAGGCGCAGAGAAGGCAAAGGGTTTTTCCAGTACCTGTTGGTGACTCCAGAATTGCGTGCCGACCCTTTTGAAACAGCATACAAACGGTTTGAATTGAGGCTAGAAGAATCCTCCCATACTTGCAAATAAATGCAACAGCAATCTCAGAATTAAAACTAAACATCTCAAAATTGTGAGCCGAAGCTGAAGGGATTACATCCCCGATTTAAAAATAAATTATGGACCTATCTATGATCCAAACACCAACCTGAAACAGAGCATCTATGACACTTTCCATATAGCGCTTCTGACACTCATAAGGTTCGTGCGGAAAGTTAACTTCAAC